TCTAACATATTACCTTTCCATTGTCATTGTGCTAATTTCCTCTCTTGTTTTTGCCTGGCAGTTGTCCATGTGGCGCTGTAGTGATGAGCTTCGTGTTCGCGCAGATGAACTCCACAGATCCTCTAGGAGAGATGCAAAACACTACATAGGTAAAATATGGAATGTTATTTTGTTAATTTCTTATTTCCATTTCAAGTAACAATACACTATTTGTTCATAGATGTCATTTTTAGTGAGCTGTTCCTGTTTTGTTATGGAACACTGAGAAAAAGCAATTCATATAAACACCGTGTCATGATAGTTTATTTTTTATCAGCAAAATATGTTTTTTACTTCTTTTTCTTCAGTTAAATAGGAGACCACTAGGCTATGGGTTCCACAAAGCATAGCTGCCCCCGTCCCATAAAATCTCCCAACCCAACCAATGCTTTTGAAGAGACATGATTAACAAAATGTGGTCACTGTATTTTGTTATAGTGGTGCGCTTATAGTTATCCCTTGCTAACCTTGAGGAAAAAAGGCATTTTGTATCCTCAAAGTAGGAAACCCTACTAAAATTTCCTAAACTATATAACCTTCTGTTTATTAAATATAGCTTCCTCTTATTTCTGTAAATTTCATTCTTAATCCATGCCAGTCTCTTACCATAAATTAGTTATGTTACTGATGTGATAATCATACACATTATTCTTGTTGCAGAGTTTTGGAAACAAATTCCTCCAAATGAACCCTATCGTGTGATTCTTGGTGAGCTGAGGGATAAGCTGTATCAGACACGTGAACGCTCTCGTCAATTGCTATCCCATGGGATCTCTGAAATTCCAGAGGAAGCAACTTTAGTAAATGTTGAGCAGGTATCATATATTTGGTCATCTCCTTTTTTAATTGCAAGTATATAATAATGTTGTGTTTAGTTATATGTAAATAGACATGGTAATGATTGGGTTTATAATTTCATGTAGTTCTTGGAACCTTTGGAACTCTGTTATAGATCACTGTGCTCTTGTGGTGACCGAACAATTGCTGATGGAAGCCTTCTCGATTTCTTGAGGCAAGTCTCCACCTTTGGACTTTCATTGGTGAGACTTGACATTAGACAAGAGTCTGATCGTCACACTGATGTCTTAGATGCCATTACCAAGCACTTGGAAATCGGTTCCTACCGAGAGTGGTCAGAAGAACGAAGGCAGGAATGGCTTTTATCAGAGCTCAGAGGCAAGCGCCCACTATTTGGTCCTGATCTTCCAAAAACAGAAGAAATTTCTGATGTGTTGGACACGTTTCATGTCATAGCTGAACTGCCAGCAGATAACTTTGGAGCATACATCATCTCTATGGCAACTGCCCCATCAGATGTGCTTGCAGTTGAGCTCCTTCAACGTGAATGCCATGTAAAACAACCATTAAGAGTTGTTCCTCTATTTGAGAAGCTTGCAGATCTGGAGGCAGCTCCTGCTGCTTTGGTTCGGCTTTTCTCAATAGATTGGTACAGAGACCGTATCAATGGAATACAAGAAGTTATGATTGGATACTCTGATTCTGGCAAGGATGCTGGAAGATTTTCTGCAGCCTGGCAGTTATACAAGGCCCAAGAGGAACTTATAAAGGTAGCTAAGCAATATGGTGTGAAGCTAACAATGTTCCATGGCCGAGGTGGGACTGTTGGAAGAGGAGGTGGTCCCACTCATCTTGCTATATTGTCTCAGCCACCAGACACTATTCATGGTTCTCTTCGTGTCACTGTTCAAGGTGAAGTTATTGAGAAATGTTTCGGAGAGGAGCACTTGTGCTTTAGAACGCTTCAGCGTTTTACAGCTGCCACTCTTGAGCATGGTATGCATCCCCCTGTCTCACCAAAACCAGAATGGCGAGCCCTGATGGACGAAATGGCAGTTGTTGCGACAGAGGAGTATCGTTCTATAGTTTTCAAAGAACCACGATTTGTGGAGTATTTCCGTCTTGTGAGTATAACTTGTACTATGTTGTTACTGATGCCATTTGAGTTATTAGAAGCCTGTAAATAATGCTTGTTTTTCTTGTGATTGTAGGCCACACCAGAGATGGAGTATGGTAGGATGAACATTGGAAGTCGTCCATCTAAGAGAAAGCCTAGTGGGGGGATTGAATCTTTACGTGCAATACCATGGATCTTTGCCTGGACACAAACAAGATTCCATCTTCCTGTATGGCTAGGCTTTGGAGCAGCATTCAAACATATCATTCAAAAGGACATTAGAAATCTCCATATGCTGCAAGAGATGTACAATGCATGGCCTTTCTTTAGGGTCACCATTGATTTGGTTGAAATGGTGTTTGCCAAGGGAGACCCTGGAATCGCTGCCTTGAATGACAAACTCCTTGTTTCTGAGGATCTATGGCCATTTGGCGAGAAGTTGAGGGCCAACTATGAGGAAACCAAGGGCCTCCTTCTACAGGTAACTTCACCAGGATAAAATTCCCCTTAAATCTTTTCAGCGTGTTACAAATTAAAAGGGGTATTTAGAAATGGAAAATACCAGACTTCTATCCATCCTTTTCTACTTTTAGCTAATATCTAAACGACAGAAAGTCGAATCTTTTCAACGTTTAAGTCTCTACCAAAATTCGATGCCCTGCCCCCAATTACAAATCCCAATTACAAATCTTGTCCTAATGATCAAAATAGGTAACTAGCAGTTGATTTAAATAAGTTGGAAAAGCTAATACATTTCCTTTTCAGATTGCTGGACACAAGGATCTTCTTGAAGGGGACCCTTACTTGAAACAAAGACTGCGGCTGCGTGATTCATACATCACGACCCTCAATGTCTGCCAGGCCTACACACTGAAACGGATCCGTGATCCAAACTACAATGTAACAACACGACCACACATATCAAAGGAAATAATGGAATCAAGCAATCCAGCTGATGAACTGGTGAAACTGAACCCTACTAGTGAGTATGGACCTGGTTTGGAGGACACTCTTATCTTGACCATGAAGGGTATTGCTGCTGGCATGCAGAACACTGGTTAAGAACCTAGGAGGTGCTTACGGGCTGTTATCCTTTCCTTTCCTTTTCTATAGATGGGTTTTGCCCAAAATACAATAAGCTAATGCTATCGACAGGATGCTGTCAAAATTATCGGCCTTGCGGTCTAAACTTTGGGGCAATATTGCCCACTGTACGATCATTTTGCTGTGGTTGAATACTCTTTTGTGGCCAGTGATCTTTGTTTCGGCCACACCAGAAGATAAACTCTTAACGACCTGTGCTTATAATGCGAAATAGAGTATATATGCTATATGACTGCTTGTTGTCTTATGCCTTGATACAATACGAACGATTATATGGTGAGTTTTTGGTCATGTTGTGATTAAACTTAACTTTTGATCTATTATTTCCTGTGTTATTCCTTAATTAATCTTCTTCCACATGAATAGACGCATGGTAAAGGGATAAAAAGTTGGTTTTAGACCATCTCCATTCATGCCCAATGCATGATCCTACTTTGTTAGAAGCTTAAAGCAGATCTCGTGATGAGGAAAAGAAAGAATGGACGAATTCTATTCTCCATACACGCCGAGAGACAGATTTTCCTTCTTCCATATGAAGTGTAAACATGTTTCTTCATAGGCTTGAGCCCTCTGCTACTCCACAAAAAAAAAAAAAAAAAAAAAAACAACTTAAGTATTTTACGGTAAATACTAAACTATAAAGTGGTCTTGCAATTAAGAAATTAATAAGTTAAGACTCTTTTGGAAAATTATAGAGTACTTACTCTACAGGTCAATCTTGAAAAAAGAGAGATGATAAAGGAGAAAATCATACTTGGGTTTACCAAAAATAATAAAAATATTGTCATTTAGGATTAAAATTATATATATTTATTTATTTTATTTTGAATTTTTTTCCTCATCTATTTATCTTTTCTTTGTGCACATCTTTTCTATACATGAGATGTTTTAAAGTGTGATAATAGTTATTTTTCATAATATTTTTTACTCAAAAAATACATTAAAATATTTTTTTATTTAAAAAAATTATTTTTAACATTAACATATAAATATAATTAAAAATATAAAAATAATTTTAAATAAATCTTTTTAAAAATTTTCATTCCATATGCATCTTCAAACAGCCTCAAAAAACTAATTTTTTTTTAAAAAATCTAGTTTAATTGGTTATGCTATGAATATAATTATTGTCTAGGTTAAGTTTTAAGAAACTTAGTTTCAGTATTTGAAAGCAACAAAAAAATAATAACTTAAAACTTCATATTTAATCTATGCACTTTTCATATTCTTTTATTACCGTATTTCCATTAGTTATTTCTTACTAAGTTTCTTGACGTATTTATAATTTAACGATCAAAATTGGACAATAAATCAACGTATTCCTTTTCTTTTCTTTATTTTCGAGAAAATCAATGAATGAATTTTAAAATAAAATAAAAGGTATTAATTTGTTAGTTCCTTAGGAATAAAAGGACTAAATTCTAATTTACTCTTTTTTTTTTTCTTTTGTGATTCTTAAGGACGAGTGGTTAATTTAGTTGTTTTTTAAGGAAGGATTTCATCACCAGCATTCTTGGTGGCGGCTTGCCGTTAAAATGGGCCGAGCGCAGCTTTAAAAGCGGCTATTATTGTTACAACGTCTCTTCTTGCTGGCTTGAATTTTGAACAGCGTATCATAGCAAAAAGTAGAAGCTGAGAAGGAAAAAAAAACTGTGAAATGTTTGTACCACAATGATGGATGCTGAAGAAGGGAGAGAGTATTTTAGCAAATTTTCCTGAAAGGATTCGATTTTTTTAATTGTTTATTACTTAATGAAAGCTTCCCATACCTTAATTATTCATAGCTTGATATTATGATTTAACTAAAATTCTAATAAAAATAATTTTAATTCAAGATATAATCTAACATTGATCATTCTAATCAAACTTCAATTGTTGCTGTTGCAGCAATTGGAGTAATTCTTGGCCGGTCCTTCTCGATTGTGGCTTTCTTGCCTATTACATTTTACTCTTTAAGTAGAAGATTCAAGCCAACTTTTTCGGCTGGCGCGGTCACCTCTGTTGTTCTTCTTGTAAGTCAATTGTTGGCTGGGGTTTATGTCTTTGCAACCGCACGAAGAAGAAGGGTTTGTTTTTCACTGTTGCCTCAAAAGTCTAGGTTCCTAGGTTTTTGTATTCACTTGTGCATATCTTCCTGTACAAAGTTTTGATATGGATTTAAATGTTTCTGCAAATCATTCCATATTCCATATTTTTGTCATTTTTCGTTCCACTAATTAAATTTATTGTTCTATAGTTAGCTATGTTCATTTTCTTGCCATTTAGAACCTCCAATCTTAACCACGAATGAAATTCTAGTGAATTGTGGCTCGATAAATTTCTTATATTTGAGGTTCAGTGACATCTTATGTTGCCTATGGAGTTCTCTCTCAAGGCTAACTTTTGTGTAGCACAAATTGGCACGAGATTATTTGCTTTCAACTTGTTGAAGATGCTCTGTCCCAGTTTTAGACACAAGTTTGGTCTCATGATAAGGTCGAGTTTGCCATCTACTTGGTGTGCAGTTGTGTCCCTAGTTTATAAACTCTAGTGCAGAATGAACCCGCCTCAAGTTAGTGGCAATTGCATCCTTTTTGTGTTGCTAAATTTCCATACAAATCATCAGAATGATTACTACAGGCAGCTTTTGAGGTTATAGTTGTCTGGATGAATAATTTGAAATGATCATATATTATTCAGGTTTCATATTCTACGTCACTTAAATTTCTTTAAAATGAGAGTTTGGGAGGATATTGCCTAGTGCAAGAACAACAAGAAAGGGTGTTGAAAGTTTAGACTCGGTGCGAAGCATCTAATAGGGTAATTCTAGTTGAATGAAGTGGAAGTTCATGAGTTACAATTGATGTTCTTAATTTTCTGTTTATTGGAATGTAACTTGAAAATGGAGAACAAAAGGGAAAGGTCTTGTCATGAATATGAACTACGAACTTTGTTTTCTTCAAAGCTTTGCGGCAAAATCAACTAAGCTTTAGTCTAGAAATGTCTGTTCGAACCTGATGATCTTAATTTGCTTCCCAAGAAGAATCCAAATCGCTATTACGAGATATGCGTTGGAGTGAGCTTGCATGAGTAAAGGCATGTACTTTCAAATGAGTTGGATGGTATGAGAATCATGTCATGCAGTCTGACGTGTCACAGACTCTTCCTCTAATCAGTACTTAATATGTTTTTTGTTCATTCATATTACATCAGTAGGGGAAGTGTTTACTTCATTTGAATGCTTGTACTGCAACATTTTGTGGGCATGAAAGGAAGTCTCTTGAAATTTTATAAATAATTTCGTTTTTTTCCTCCTCACAGGTAAAGCACACAACTGCACCATTAAAACTTCCCTGACAATGGCGAATCCTACCTTTCTTGTCCGATCACAAATTCATAGAAGATGTTGATAGAGAGTTTACATCATGACACAATTTACACAAACTTTATACTGGAAACATATGCAATAGAACTATTTTATCAAGATCTGGATTACTATCTCACTTTTTTCTAATCTGTTGTTTGCATGTAGCTGCAAATGTGCTGTCATTCTAAGTTCTTTCCTTTGCATAAAAAATGTCCTTTTGGTCGGTTAATCTATGCTTTATAGATAAATAGATGCTCAATCCTGTGTACTGTGCCAATCTAAGAAGACAAGAAAGGGTCAAATGTTATGATGACTGGTACATTTCTAACCAGCAGGTTCCTTTATCCAATATACCTTGTTGTCTGTGTAGCTGCTTCAGCTGTCATTGGGAGCTTTCCTGATCTTTTCCGAGACAAGTATAATCCCCAGGACAATTCTTGGCTGGTTTTGGTAGGCTTCTTATCTATTCTTCTATATTTCTGTGCCTTTTTTATGAGCTTTAAACTTATGTAGCATTTTCATGCAGATAGCCAAATTTGTTAGGCCTGTGGTTCTTGGCCTGATATTATCTGCATCCCAGGCTCGCACGTTTTCATTGATAAATGGTTGTGGTGCTCGTATTGAGGTTTACAAAATTTTGGAGCACGATGATGATGTAGGGAAAGGTATGATCTATTTTGTAGTACACTGCAAGAACGTTCTCACTGATTTTATTTATCGGGCGGTGCTACTGCTCTTGCAACATGTTGTGTTGAAAAACGTCATCTGCTGTCTTAGACCTTCTAACTCTTAATGAACGCAAGAAGTCTATATTACATGTGTCAATTGTCAATTTTTTAAAACTTTGTTGCTGTGGCTTGTTTTGGTGATGGAGAAAGTAAACTGTGACTAGTCAGCAATGTACTCGAGAATACTTGTAAATGTAGCAAAATGTATGGGCAGTAGCTTCTGGATGGAAAACAAACGAGTTCTAATTAGAAGATTGGTGTACTTGTTGCTCTACCTCTAGGGTTTCCTGAAGATTGCAGGTTCTACTCTGTGTCGGAAGTGAATGACATCGATTTCCTTCATCATTTTTTGTTCCTGAATACATCAGTGCAGTTTGGTGGATTGATGATGGATTCCAAGGTCTTCTTCCATTACTTTTCAATTCTACCCTGTGTGGGAATGCAGCAGCAACCCTTTACTTTAACAACAAGAAGAACAGGGCATCGAATGAGCACTATGTAATTGATCCCTAGCCTTGTTGTTCTTTCTTTTTTATTAAGATTTTTTATTAATAATTTATACTTGAAGTATTAATAACTTCTTAACTAAAGTATATTTTATAATAATAAATTTGATATTATAAGATGCCTTTAATTTATAGTAGATGTTCATCTTAAATATAAATTTATTATATAAATCAAATAATTGATTGATAAATTCAACTATTAAAATTAAAAGATAGAAAGAGAGTGAAGCTTAGAAAAGTGATGCTGGTTCGGTCCAAACTGAGACATTGTTCAGTCATTAGGTCATATATGAAGTTGTACATCTTGAATTTCAATTTGATTTATACGGCTAAAAACTAAGACATAGGCCTAAAATATTCATGAGGAATGCAAGACCCAATTATGCTGTTTGGAAATTCAAATCTTAACAATAACGAAGAAGTTTGAATTTGTCTTGCAGTTCAGACATTGTTCAGTTTTCAGCCTATATTTTAAAATTTGAAAGTTAAAATGAATTTATTTTTTTTTGTTGAAAAACCGATACAATTTTCTAAAACTTTCATGATTCAAGTATGTTAGAATTCTAAAGTTAGCAATGATGTTTTAGAAAAAAACATAAGGATTGTCACTAAGTTAAAAGTTGGCCACTCATTCAACAATTAATCATCAAATCAATAGTTTCAATTTTTAACCTATAAAAGGAGGCATTTACCATGCATTTAAGTATCTTGATTTTCAGATCAAGATCATATTTTGTTCTCTTTCTTTATATTTTTGTAATGCTTAAGTTTTGCTTTCATTAATTTCTTATTTATGCCTTTCATTTCATTTCTTTTCCTTTACTTAGTTAACTTATATTTTATTTATGTTCTTATTTTGTTTATTTATGTTTCTCTTCTTCGTTATGTTTAGCTAAGTTTATTATGTCAAGGTCAAAATGTTATACTAATATGAGAGTGTGGTCACGTACATCAAGTGGTAGACTTTGTAGGGTATCCTCATCATTTTCAGAAAATATGGCCAAAGAAGATAATCAATCACTTCATAATGAGAATAATGAGAATAATTGTGCTAGAACACTTAGAGACCACATGAATCCCACAAGAACAAGTGCACCATCATGGATAGTTTTTCCTCCCGATGCATCTCATTTTAATTTTAAACCAGGTATTATTCAACTTTTACCTTCTTTTCATGGCTTAAAATTGGAAAATTCATGCTTGCATTTAAGGGAATTTGAGGAGGTCTGCAACACATATAATAATTTAAATTGTAGCATGAACACCATCAGATTAAAGCTTTTTCCTTTTTCATTAAAAGATAAAGTTAAAACATGGCTACAAAATTTGAGACCAGGATCCATTCGTGCTTGGGATGAAATGCAACAACAGTTTTTAAAGAAGTTTTTCCCATCTCATAGAACAAACCCTTTCAAAAGACAAATCACCACTTTCACTCAAAAACCAGGAGAAACATTTTATCAATGTTGGGATAGGTATCGAGACTTGCTTAGTACTTGCCCTCATCATGGTTTTGAAATATGGAGATTGGTTTCATATTTTTATGAAGGGTTAACACCTAGAGATAGGCAAACAGTTGAATTGATGTGCAATGGAACTTTTGAAGATAAAGATCCTGATGAAGTAATGGAGTACTTAGACTTGTTAGCTGAAAATGCTTAAAATTGGGACACTCCGGGTACTTATGAGGCACCGAGTAAAACTCAACCTCATACATCTAGTGGAGGTATGTATAACCTTAGGGAAGATCATGACCTTCAAGCCAAGTTTGCATCTTTAGCTAGAAAAGTTGAGGCACTAGAATTAAAAAAGAGTGGTCAATTAAAATCTGTTGAAAACATCGTGTGTCAAATTTGTGAAACAAATGAACACTCAACCAACGATTGTCCAACCTTGCCTTCTTTTAAGGAATGTCTCCAGGAACAAGTGACACGACTGAAAGATTGATGTCTTCTCCCAAGTGCAGGAGTGTCGAAGTAATAAATAACCCGGTAAGACCGGGGTCGAACCACATGGAAGTTAATTGTACAAATTATAAATAACAATAATACAACAACAACAACAATAACAATAACAATAACAATAACAATAACAACAACAATAACAATAACAATAACAATAATAATAGTACTAATAATAGTAGTAGTAGTAGTAGTAGTAATAATATTAATAAAGAAAAAAAAAAGAAGAAAAAGATGAGAACTTTGAGATGGAATATTAACGTAAAGATTTAACAACGATAACAATAAATGTCAAGGTTAGAGGATCCACTAATGGTATGTCAAACAAGTATAATATAAACTCTTATTAGTCAATTGGAAACCACACACAAAGAAGGTTCCAATCAGATTATAGATTGTTAACATGATTACATTAGTCATCTTATTCAATTAATGCTAATACTTGTAAATTTCGTCAAGCATTCATGATTATAACTTATGTTAACAGCAAATCAAGTTCCTTTCATAGCTTAGGTGTCGGTTATACCATACAGTATGGGCTATGAAAGTGCCAAGCATTTGTTGTACCAAGTGTTATACAACATAAATCAAGATTAGTCATTTAACAAGCAAAGTATTAAAGAGTGAATAAGATAACAAATACAAAATATGTTAGTATCAAACATTAAAGTCCATATTGAGTTTACACTATACTTATTCTTACACCATTAGTGTAACCTTTTCACCCTGACATAATAAACTTAGCTAGACATAATAAAAGAAATAAAAATAAATAAACAAAATAAGAACATAAATAAGATAAGAGTTAACTAAGTAAAGGAAAGAAAATGAAACGCATAAACTTGATATTAATGAAAGTAAAGCATAAACATTACAAAAAATAAAAAGAGAGAAAGCAAGAGCATGATCTTGATCTGGAAACCAAGATGCCTAAATGCATAGCAAATGCCTTTTTTTATAGGCCAAAATTGGGAACTATTGATTTGATGACTAATTGATAAGTGGGTGGCCAACTCTTGACTTGGTGACAATCCTTATCTTCTCGTCTTCCCAAAACGTCATTGATAACGTCAAAATTGAAGCCACTCAAAAACATGAAAGTTGTAGGCAATTGTCTCAGATATCTTGTGTAAAACATTCAGCTCATTTGGACTTCTAAAACTCCAGATATGGCCAAAATACTGAACAGTGCTCGAGCTGGAGGACAGATTCGGGCTTCTTTGTTGTTGCTACAATTTGGACTTCAAAATGGCCTTTTTAGATCTTGGGCTCCATATGAAAGTTGTAGGCCTATGTCTTACCTTTCCATCCATATAAAGTAAACCTAAATCTAAGATATATAACTCTAGATATGACCCAATTACCGAACAGTGTTCCAGTTTGGATTGCACCGACATCTCTTTTCTAATTTTGGTCATCTCTTTGCCCTTGCAATTTAAGTTCTTAAAGTCATCAATCAATCCTTTCATTTATGTGATAGGCCTGCATTTAAAATGAATATTTACCATAAATTAAAGGTATCTTATATTATTAGATATATTATTATAAAATATGCTTTAATTAAGGAGTTATTGATACTTCAAGTGCAAAATGATGATATAAAACCATGATAAAAATACACTTTTAAGTACTAATCATAAGACATTAATCTTTTGGTCGTGTCAGCTAGCAATGCAAGTTTTGCAGGCAACTTTGAGATCTTGAAGCTTGCACTTTTCTTGTTGAGCTGCAGCTTAATCGACCCTACCCTACTCGTGGAAGTGACTTATCAACTTGGGAGGTATATATAAGTCTCCCCCCTCTCTGCCCCCCTTCTCCAGTTTCTATATTCCTTATAAGGTGTATAAAAATTGTTTGCATTTCAGCTGATTGTAGCCTTGCCTTATCTAGACAGGGAGCTCTTGCCTCCCATATATCAGTCCTTTTTCATCCCACATCCGTGGCAAGAGAAGAATATTTTTAGAATGTACAAGTCACTTAAAAGAGTATCAATATAAGTTGCAATTCAAAGTCTTGCCCCTCAAGTTCTGAGTTTTGTAGCCAAATAGTTGTTCATAGCTTGACATGGACCTCAAGATAAAAAAGTAAAGAAAAAGCTAGGTCTGACAAGAAAACTCGAGTTGAAAACATAGTTGCTAATCTCAGTAGATTAACATAATGTTTGGTATTGTAGTTGCTTTTATGGTTGTGATTTGAGAAAAATTGACATGACCAAAAGATTGATGTCTTCTCTCAAGTGCAGGAGTGTTAAAATAATAAATAATCCGCCAAGACCAGGGTCGAACCACAGAGAGGTTAATTATATAAATTATAAATAATAATTATAAATAACAATAACAACAACAACAACAACAATAAAGAAAAATAAGAAGAAGTTGATGAGAACTTTGAGATGAAATATCAATGTAAGGATTAGACAATGATAACAACAAATATCAAGGTTAGAGGATCCACTAACGATATGTCAAAAAAGTATAGTATAAACTCTTATTATTCAATTATAGGATCCATTAGTGTAACCTTTTCACCTTGACATAATAAACTTAACTAAACATAATGAAAGAAAGAAAAATAAATAAACAAAATAAGATAAAAGTTAACTAAGTAAAGGAAAGGAAATGAAAGGCATAAACTTGATATTAATAAAAGCAAAACATAAGCAATACAAAGAATATAAAGAGAGAAAACAAAAATATGATCTTGATCTGGAAACCAAGATGCCCAAATACATGGCAAATGCCTTCTTTTATAGGCTAAAATTACGAACTACTGATTTGATGACTAATTGATGAGTGGGTGACCAACTTTTGACTTGGTGACAATCCTTATGTTCTCTTGTCTGCCCAAAACATCATTGATAATGTCATAATTAAAACCACTTGAAAATATAAAAGTTGTAGGAAATTGTCTCAGCTTTCTAGAAAAAAAATAAAGGTCATTTGGACTTCTAGAACTTTAGATATGGGCTAAACACTGAACAGTATTTGGGTTGCAGGACAGATTCAGACTTCTTCATTGTTGTTAC